TAATTACACTTAAATTTTAGGTTGTCACATAGTAGTATTCAGAAATGATTTAAAATTCAAACAATTTACTTGAAATAAGTTCAATTCAATTACTAACGATTCCTCTCTTTGGTATATAAATTATATGGCAAACTAAACACCCATTTACAGTATAAATTGCTTATAGGAATCGGCAACACAAATGATATATTATTTTTCAAGTTTTAGGTCGTTTTGGTTAAATTTAAAAAAATGCCCAAATTTGGTCATTTTACATGTCCTTGTTTTTTGGAAGATGTTCAAGTGTTTCAAAGTCAATATCGATTGAAATATTAAGTACATATTAAGTACTACTTAGTTACTTAGCTATGGAGAGGGCTATGCTCGGGGTTTCTCTGCGTGATAAACTTAGAAATGAGGACATCCGCAGTAGAACCAGAGTAACCGACATAGCCCAACGGATTACTAAGCTGAAGTGGCAGTGGGCTGGCCATATAGCTCGAAGAACCGACAACCGATGGGGAAGAAAGGTTCTCGAGTGGCAGCCTCGTACTGGTAGGCGAAGTGTAGGGCGACACCCCACTAGATGGAGTGACAACCTGGTAAGACATGCAGGAAATCGATGGATGCAGGTGGCTCAGGACCGTGCTTTGTGGCATTCCTTAGGGGAGGCCTATGTTCAGCAGTGGACTTATGAAAGGCTGTAGAACTACTACTTAATATTTAAGTATAAGTAAATATTAAGTAGTTTTTATATAAAGTTCTTAGAAAAGTATTCGATAGCTCGTTTTAAAAAATGTTCAGCTTTGACGCAAAAAAGGGTTTTCACACTATTGGCAACATTCCTTAATAAGGTTATTTTTCTACTACCTAAAAATTTGTCATCCAACTTGTTTTTGAGATGACTCATTAGATTTTTCATTACACTGTCAAGTTCTAGGACAGTGCATGGAGCACTTTCCAATGCTAAAATTGCTACTTGGAATTCCAACATTACGTTACAAAGTACAGAGTATAAATACGCTTCTGAAATCCCTTTCTGTTTGCATTCGTCAACCCGTACACTATTGTTATCAATATGGCTTTTACTTTTTGTTACAAACTCCCATATAATTATCTCTTTTCGACATTCGTCTTCCCCATTCAACACAAAATACTGCTTTACAGCAGACTAACAATACAGTAAATTATCTAAAGTGGGCAAAAGAGATAGCCATCTTGTCGGGACATGACGAAGAAGGTGGCCGCGCGTGGCAATTTTAAATTATTTCCGAGAAGCCGTCTGTCTGGAGAATTTGAATTTTGTCGGGAGTCTGGAGATCATTTAAAATTTCGGGAGAATCCAGACGAATCCCGACCATCTGGCAACCCTAATTGTAAGTAAGACTATAAATTTAATTATGTCGTCCCGGGGGTACGGTACGAGCTGACTATAACGCCAGAAAAATCTTATGACTTCCCATACATGACTGGTAACCATATTGTTTACACCAGACCCAAAATACTCAGACTGGCGACGGACAGCAGCGTCAAAAAGCGAGGCGTCTGACACTGCGATTGTCAATTTGCCTGTCAAGCGTGTCGATTCAGACAAATCCTCCATACAACAGGGGAAGGGCCATTTTCAATAGCGGAGTTGTACGGACTGATGGAGAAGTCGTTTGAATTTTTTTTTATAGGATAAGGGTGACAAACGAGCACACAGTCCACCTGATGGTAAGTGGTTGCTGCGGCCCATAGACATCTACATCTATCCTCTATTACAAATCAAAATGTAGATGCGTTGTCACCCGTGAGGACTAAGATGGAATGCCTCATTTCCAGTAAAAAGGGCCTCCGGCCACCTGCACTCACCAAGCGAAACGCAGAGGTAAACCTCTACTTCACGCTGGTTTTCTGTGAGGTCGTGGTACCACCCCGGTTCGAGCCGGCCCATCCGTGCGACAGCAAAAGCTGCCGCGTGGCTCTACCACTGTGTAATTTTATTATGTTCCAAACTTACCCTGAACACCTTTCCACAGTAAGTGCAGGTGAAACTCTGCTTATTGGGGAAATGATCCTGTCGATGCATGTAAAGCGAGGACTTGTATTGGAACGACTTGTACTAATGTAATTTAACTTATTAATTTAATAACTTTTTGTAACTAAATACGAGTACTTACCTGTAACGTTTGTTATATTATGGCCAATAAATATTTCTGAGTATATAATACATAATCACATAATCAATCAATACATACGTATAAATACGGCTATTTAATAATATTGTATTTCTAATGTTTCCTCAGTTCACGAACCAACTTTTTGAAGGAATATTTATTAGGCACTTTTCTAATATCATCAGGCAAGGAATTCCAAAGAAGTGAAGCCTTAACAGTAAAGGAGCTTGTTGTTAGAAGAAGATAGAAGAACATTATCACGACAAGAAGAGAGGTACTGAAATCGATCTTTGAGGTAGGATGATGAATAAGGATGATTTAGAATTGAAAAAAGAACAAGTCATTTAAGCTGAAATGTATATTGAAAAACATGGCCAAACTTTCACAGACTAAAAATAAATCTAATACAGATGTCAAGCAGGCCCGGGTGCCCCGTATTGATACGGCTGGTACGGCGGTAGCTACGCCCCTGGTTATAATAATAATATTAAAAGTAAAATCTATTACATTCTTATCAGTAATATTGTAAATCCCCTCATCGAGGTCCTTCACACATAACTAATAGGTTTAAAACTCCCCGCAGTTTGAGGAATTCCCCACCTATAAAATGAATTCGTGGTTTGTGGGGGATTAGTGTTATGCTTAAATTCACATATAAATTAATTACTAAAGGCCTCTTTATTCGCCTTATAGTTATTATCATAATATCCGCTACATTATGATACAGCGTGAGGATACTAAAAAGTATCTTTAGACTTAATCAATTTAGATAGATTTTGAAGGAAATCCTATAATTTCAGTATGTAATTCAAATTTATATTTATTTATTTTTATTTATTACATTATTATGTTTTAGTCAAAAAAGGCTAAGATTCCTTTGATGAATGAAACATTGATATTTATTAAATTGGAAGTACTTTTGTCAGCAACATTATTACAGATGACGAATCATGGATTTATCAACACAATCCAGAAGTTAAGCGCCAGTCTACGGTTGTTTCAAAATGAACCAACGGTTACCAAAGTAAAGCGATCTAGAAGCGCAAGATTTTTATCACTACTTTTTTCACCTGGTATTAATCCTTACGAAAACTCCTCTATGAAATCAAAGTAGTATCAATGCGGAATGATATTATATTAACGAATGCTTTCGAAGTGTTTACTGTTGTAGGCAGCTAGCGACGGAACATAGGACTAATGCTTCGCGAAGACAACGCGCGTACTAAGTGCTCAACACGAGGGACTTTCTGGACAGCACTGATTAAGCTTTTGGATGAATTTCCTTACAACTTTGAATCGATACTCTGTGACTTCTTTTTATTTCTTAAAATAAAAAATAAACATTTGGAAGGGTTACCGTATTTATTTCCCGAAGATGCGGTAGTAGTGTTTGTGCATTCAATAGAAGTGTCTGAGGTGGACTGGAAAAGGTGCTTCGAAAATGAGCCTGATAAGCAGGTAAAAATTTGGCATTCAAATCTATTAATAAAGCTTATTTTATGTACATCACCCTAGTTTTTATGATAGCTCAATATTTATTAGAAATAGTGACAATGGCAGCAAGGTAAGCATTAACTTATCTATGAAGTAGTTAGAAGGTTCGTTAGTAATATTACATGTCATGTCGTACCAAAGTCATGGTTGTTGCAATATAGCTAAGGGTATTAGTCGAAAAGTTTAGTTAGAACTAAACTTGTGTGAAGTAGGCGTAATATCTCGACTTACATTTTCACACAGAATTTTCTTACTCATTTCTGCTTTTTTAAGTTTTTACACAACAGACCGTACAGGTTTTTATTTAACTGCTTTTGACAAGCAAATCTGTGAACAAAAATTAATTAATTTTATTTCCGAGCGGAAATGATTCTGGGTAGATTTGTTATTGTATGAATGATATTTTTATATTTTTAGAGTCATGTTTATTCAAAATAGTTATTCAGGTTTTAAGCATCTCAAGCTTGAAAACTATGGCCCAGGGCCAGTACAAGGCGCGTGCTAAAGGAAGTTAGAAACTCTTTATTCATTTGTTTGACAGTGGCAAGTAATAATTATAGTTATAAATCATCGTAAAGGCTGGATGTTTTCTGATAATTGACATATCCTCGTATCTACGAGTACAAATGAATAAGTTCCCGCAATATCCAATTATTTTTCCTCACCGAAAAGTACTACATAATATGACTAATGTTTTACTATAAATTTATTTTACTTGGCATCCTTTAATACGGAAGCTGTTCGTATTAATACTATTGATTATTGAAAAATGACTAACATTTTCTCAGATATTATTACGCAGTATTATCTAGAAATACTTAGTAACAATCACCGATATGTTGTAAACCTTATATCTACCTTAATCAGAATTCATGTATAGGATTTTTAAATAATAAATTAGTATTAGTAATCACTTAAATGAAACTAGTTTTTACAGATTTCATCACGTTTATTAACTTATTTTATATTCCCGACGTTTTGAGTACTTTATATCACAGAGGGGAATGAGGTGTTCAACGTCCCAACTCCCAATGTCATAGTTAACCACAACTACCTTCAGTTTTAAAAAAAATAGTCCAATCTATGCAGCATGAGCTAGGAAAAAATCCTATGAATTAATTTTTATAAATTATTAATAAAATTCATTCGAAGTCTGCTACACTATAAATTACCTAAATATTTTAACATCGATATATATATGTACTACGTACTAGATTTCGCATTCCGAACATACTCTATGTTCAACTAAACTGTACTGCAATCCGTACATTGTATCATTTAGGCGCGCGCTTGTAGCATACATACAGCGCGCTTAGCACGGCGTTTAACGAGCATTACCAAGGTCCATACTACTAGTTCAGTTCGGAAATGGACTTCGAAGTGATCGCTTGTGTGTGGCTTCTATACCGTCGCTATAAAAGACGACGGCAGAGGCAAAGAGAATATTGGGTGCACCCAATATTACGAGATAGACTGACGCATGGAATGTTTGTAACATTGTATCCAAAATTAAGGCAATATGAACCTAAGTTTTTTAATTATTTTAGAATGTCCACAAAATCATTTGATGACTTACTCCATGTTATTAAAGTAGATATTACTGGTGATTCAACGATTTTGAGAGATTCGATTTCCGCAGAAGAAAAACTCGTGATAACGTTAAGGTATAGTATATTTGTTTATTCAAATAAATCTAAGTTGTCTGTGAGAGATTTCTGGATAACTCGGTATTTAAATAATAAAACACGGTGTGACTTCATAGCATGTATTGAGCGACTCACTCAAGAAGACGCGCGGTGGCGCCTACCTACATAATACAATATTAATTTATACCTACATATATCACACCTCCCTTCTTAATATATGGTATTATCAGATATTATTAAGTAAGGTACATAAATTATGTAATCACAAATTTACTTATAATAATACCTTAACTATATAATACATTATCTATAAATCTAATAAACTAAACTAAACTTAGTTACTACATCTAATAAACTAATAAACTAAGCTAAACTTGAAACCTAACAACAGGTTTACGAACTCGCCCGGATCGGGCTCGAGGCGGTTCAGGCGACGGTGCACTAGGTGACGTTGGCGGTGTACTATATTCGATTCCAGGACTTTTAATGCGTTCACTCGAAACCCGTTTCCTCTCCTTTCCCGAATCACCCACAACCGTAGTCAGAGATGTGTCCGGGCCGTCGTCCTCCTTCGACATTCCGTCTCTCGCCGAGCCACTACTATCAGGTATTTGTACCCTCATTGACTCGCTTTGCTCCTCAGGGAATGGTATGTCGTACAACCCTGATCTGCGCTTGATTTGATCAACGTGCTTAACTACTTGTCGACTGTCCCCCTTGTCCACAGAATATCTCCTCGAACCTTCGCCATGAACTATCGTTCCCTTCACCCACCTATCCTTGTGGCCGTACTCTCGCACCCACACAGGTTCCCCCGGTGCAAACGAGCGCTGCACCCCACCCGTGTACTCCACTTGCTTACTTTGAGCCTGATTTACCTTATTTATGAGCGCGCGATCGCTTCGTAATAAGTCTAGCCGTGATCGTAACGTTCGTTTTTGTAACAGCATTGAAGGGCTTTCACCTGTGCTGCTGTGTATACTGTTACGATAAGTAAGTAAAAATGTTTGCAACGCGGCGTCAACATCGATTGATTCCCTATGTGCTTTTTTTATTGCTTTTTTACAAATATTTACAGCATTTTCCGCGGCGCCATTCGAAGACGGGTGATAAGCAGGCGAGAAACGTTGCTGAATACCATTTCGTGTTAAAAACTCCTTAAATTCCGCGCTAGTGAAGGGTGGCCCTTGATCCGATACTAGCTCTAGTGGTAAGCCGAATCTTGCGAACGTACACCGTAATACCTTAATAACCGCTGTAGCATTTGTTTTTGGCATTTCAAACACTTCTAGCCATTTCGTACTGGAGTCTATTAAAATAAGAAATTTTTTTCCGTTAAAAGGGCCTAAAAAATCTATATGGAGTCTGCTCCATGGCTGCAAATGGTACGGCCAAGGCTGCGGTGGGGTGCGCGGGGGTGCTTGTGACTCCACCGCGCACGTCTCACATGCTCGGCATTCGGATTCGACGTCTGTATCTATATTAGGCCACCATACGTAACTTCGAGCTATGGACTTAGTTTTAACAATGCCCATGTGACCAGTATGTAATTGCATAAGTATTTTTTTTCTTAAAGTGCGCGGTATCACCAAGCGGTAACCCCACATAATACAGCCCCTATCTATGTATAGTTCATTACGTTTAATATAATATTGCTGCAACACTTCTTTTGGGCAGGACGCGGGCCATCCGGACTGAACATAGGTTAAAATTCTACTTAATTCCGGATCGCTTGCTGTTGCCGTTCTGACGTCATCATTTGTGACCGGGAGAAAATTTTCTACGAAATTAATGTAATTCATTCCCTCCGACTTCGGAAGCCGTTTATGTACCGGTTGCGGCAAACGAGATAACGCATCTGCACAATTTTTGTGTGAACTTACATATTCTATGTCATAATTGTATCCCGACAATAATACTGCCCAACGCTGTAATCTCGAAGCGGCCATAACTGGAATGCCCACTTTACTGCCGAAAATATACGTCAAGGGTTTGTGATCAGTCCTTAAAACGAATTTTCTACCATATAAGTACTGATGAAACTTTTTAATACCGAATATTATTGCTAAGGCCTCTCGATCTATCTGCGCATAGGCCCGCTCGGCCGCGCTGAGAGTACGCGACGCATATGCGATCGGCCGCTCTCCCTCCTCAGTGATATGCGATATCACGGCGCCGACTCCGACCCCGCTGGCGTCCGCCGTCAGTACCACGGGTAAGTCTAACGTATAATGGGCAAGCACTTCGCTCGAACTTAATATTTTTTTTACTTCATTGAATGCCAATTGACACTCAGTACTCCACAGGAATCGAACCCCGGTTTTTAGCAAACGATATAACGGGGCCAGCAATGAACTAACATTTCGTACGAATTTACCATAATACATTACTAGCCCGATGAAAGATCGCAGTTCTGAAATATTGGTGGGTACAGGCGTGTTTACAATTGCCCGGACTTTTTCCGGACACGTGTGAACACCCTCTTTACTAATGGCGTGCCCTAAGTAGTTAATAGATTCTGCGAAAAATACACATTTTTCTTTCTTAACGCGCAACCCGTGAGACTGCAATCGCTCGAACACTTTATATAAATTTTTTATGTGACTACGACTATCAGGACCCGTTATAATTACGTCATCTAAAAATACACCCACGTTCGGTAACCCTGTCAATAATTCTTCTAAGTGTTTTTGAAAAATTCCTGGACTCGACGACAAGCCGTAAACTAGTCGATTGTACATGTATAAACCCTTATGTGTATTGATAACCGTATACTTTTTTGATTCGTCAAGCTCAAACTGAGCGTACGCCTGAGATAAATCAATCTTACTGAAACGTTCACCGCCATGTAAACGCGATAACAAATCATCTATGCGTGGCAAGGGATAACGGTCGACTTCTAGCACTTTATTCAGTGTTAATTTATAATCAGCGCATATTCTAATATTACCATCCTTTTTGAGAACGGGTACAATGGGTGTGGCCCAGTCGGAGCGCTCCACCGGCGTGAGGACGCCGTCTCGCACCAGCTGCTCGAGCGCTCGCTCCACCGGTTCCCGCAGCGCATACGCCAGAGGACGCGCGCGCATGAACACCGGCCGCGCCCCCTGCCGCAGGTGGATGCTAACCCGCCCGCCGCTGAACCGTCCAAGCCCATCCGCAAATACTTCACTGAATCTATACATAAAATTACTTTCGTCAAAATCCTTATAATTAACATTGTTTACATCGTAATACTGAAACACTGGTAGTTGAATTTTAAGTTCGGCTAACCACTGTCGACCCAAAAGAACGGTTTTACCATCTCTGATTATGAACAAATTTAATTTTTTTTGTGTATTTTTATACCTCACTAGTGGCGTAGCCACCCCCACCGGACGAACTATTTCACCTGTGTAATATCTAAGTAAAACATTACATTTGCTGATAGGTAAATCACTAAAATTATGTTTATAAAATTTGTAACTTATACAAGATACGGCGCTACCCGTGTCACACTCCATGTCAATATCTTTTCCGTGAACGTTGATTGAAATACATAGCGGTGTACACTCTTCTATGGACAATTTTTTTATATCAAATATTCTTACCTCGTCACTGTCCGTCTCGTCCGATTCGACCACTTTAGGTGTTCCGATGTCTACGTGATGGTACGTCGTCAGGTTTGGGCACATCCGACGTAGATGCCCCTTACGATTACATACTCTGCACACATATGCCGCGAACCGACACTTCGTGCCGCCATGGGGTCCACCGCACGCAGCACATTGTTGTGGTCCGTCCGCTGCTTTTCCTTGCTGCCGCTGCCACCTCGATGCCGTAGGTGCCGTCCTCCCTGGCCGACCGCGTCCGTTGCCACGTCGAGTCGCTGCCATCGCCTGGCACTCAGCCGTGCTCGAGCTGCCCGACGATTCACCTTGCCCGTATCCTTCCACAGCCGCTGCATCCTTCTCCGCCGCCTCCATGTTCACTGCCAAGCTATACGCTTTCCCATATTCCAACGTGCCTTCTGCGAATAGTCGTTGCCTTATAGTTTCACTTAGAATACCGCACACCAGCTGATCTCTTAAACTTTCTTCCAACCATTGACCAAATTCACAAGATTTCGACATTCTCTTCAATATTGCTGCATACTCCGCTATTGTTTCACAACTTTTTTGTTTCCTATGCCGGAATTTATATCTTTCTGCGAGGGTACTTGGTTTTGGTTGGAGATGTTTTTCTAGAATGTTTGTGATTTCCAAAAAAGATTTATCTTTTGGTTTGGTTGGAGTATATAAATTCACTAACAGTTCGTAACACTCGGCTCCCATCACGGTAATTAACGTCGGAACTTGTAAATCCTCCGAAATTTTGTTGACGACAAAATATTGTTCGAGGCGGTCGACGTATGACCTCCAATCGTCCTTACGTAGGTCAAACTCAGGAATTCTTCCAATCGACATTTTAATTAAATACTTGTCGTTTACAAATACTTTTCCAAGAGTTCGTTGCTATCCTCGTCGCCACTGAGAGATTTCTGGATAACTCGGTATTTAAATAATAAAACACGGTGTGACTTCATAGCATGTATTGAGCGACTCACTCAAGAAGACGCGCGGTGACGCCTACCTACATAATACAATATTAATTTATACCTACATATATCACAGTCTGAATCTTGGCTGGAGGCTGAACGTGACGGTGACCATGATGACGGCGGTGGTGGCGGCGTGGTAGACCACTGTTGTGTTGTTGAGGGTTTAGCAGTAGTATATCCAGAATATGTCGGTGTAGAATATGTGTATTGGTCATGATTAGTTTCTAGTGGTAATGATTGATGATAATTCTGTGCTTCTTTAATGACATTGAGTAATTCAATCTTTGTAGTTAAGCGTCGATTTTCGGGCACTTTTTTTAATTCACTGTACAATGATAAACAGAATAGTTTATCATCGTCTTCTTTAGTTAGTCGCCCCATTTCATTTTGTTCCCTTGCATTTAAACTTTTCTGTAAAATGTCGACTATTTGTTTATCTACAGCATTTATTTTCTGTCTTTTCCTTGGGCCTTCCATTTGATCTTTAGGAGGTGGCATCAAGTCTGCATTGTCTATAATATTATCTACATCTGAACCAGTTGTGCCAGAAGATTGGTAATTGCTCTCTGTGTCGTTATATGCTGTAGAATTCGCAAGAAATTGTAATTTCCTGTAATACACATATGGCGTATGTTTGGAAGATCCAGATCCAGATGGAAGCTTTTTTGCCTCTTAGACTCTCTAAGATAATTGTCCCGAATGCTTTTCCATTTTTTCATAAGTGTACCACCTGAAAATAAATAATAACCATTTTTATTTTGACAGATACTTGGCCACAGGCTGCTCTTTCGCTGATTTGCATTACGGATACCGTTTTGGAAAATCGACAATTATTATTATTAATTATTATTAATCGATAGTGGAACAAGTTTGTAAAGTACTATGGAGCAAATTGAAGTTTACATCATTGCCTGAAATGACAACAGAAAAGTGGAAAGAAGTAGAAGAAGGTTTTAAGAAATACGCTAACTTCCCAAATTGTATTGGTGCGATTGACGGGAAACATATTGAGCTAATACAACCAGAACATACAGGGTCGCTTTTTTACAATTATAAAACATACTTCTCATCAGTCTTACTAGCAGTTTGTGATGCAAATTATTGTTTTGTATACGTTGATGTTGGATCCTATGGCAAAACCAGTGATTCTGCTATTTTTAAAAATTCCGAATTTTTTAAACGGATTGTGAATAATAAGTTAAACATTCCTAACCCCAAGCCTATATGAAATATCGATAGAACTCCATTGCCTCATGTGTTCGTCGGCGATGAAGCATTTGGAATTATGTCGAATGTGATGCGGCCTTATGGAGGAACACAACTCACACACACAAAAAAGTTTTCAATTACAGATTATCGAGAGCAAGGCGCTATATTGAATGTACTTTCGGAATAATGAGCAATAAATGGCGAATATTTCATAGACCGATAGATGTAAACATAGATTTCGCGGAAAGTATCATCAAAGCTTGCACAGTACTACATAATTACGTTCGAATGCGCGATGGTTACAGATATGAAGATACACTTTATGTTTCACCTCTACAATCTATACATTTAGAAAATTTACCACGAGGCAGCTTATGTGCTAGAACAGCAAGAGAAAAATTTGCCAATTATTTTGTGAACGAGGGAAAATTACAGTGGCAAAACAACATGATATAATTATAGAAAACATCAATAAATAATTATACTCACCCAAACAGTTTTTTCTTTTCCAAATTGTATTCACAGTCACTAAAAATTTCAACTATTTCCTCCCAATTACGTTTTTTTAATATTTTATTTTTATAATCTGGTCTTTGCATGTCCCATATAGCTGGACGCTTTTGGATTTCGTCGATAAATAAATCTGTATCGAAGTGTTCCATCTCCATGATATACGTGCACCCTACACGAAAGCGCGCGATCAAATGTACAGCAAAATGGCGGTGCATGTATCTACAAGCGCGCAGCTGACGCCCGCACAACGCGCGTTCCAACGAAATTCTGAGAGCGCGCGTCCGACGCGCGCTTGCATATGTACACTTCAATAGGGACTTTTGGATCTCAAAACGCGCGTTAGTAAATCGCGCGTTTCAAAGCGCCCAATGTGTACCCGCTCTTAGTGTGGTTTCAATCTACTAGTTAGTCTGTGGTTTCAATATACATGCAGTGTGAAGCGGCGCTAGCGCGAAGACATAGAGTAGTGCACATTTTTGTTTAGAATGGCTTCTGTAGTACGTACAAAGAGTATAATAAGTATATACAGGAAAGCACGTAGTACGTATAACTCAATGATTTTAAAGTTTTATTTTTTCAAGCATCGGTGGTAGCACTAATCTCAAAGACATTTAAGTAGTAGTAGTAATAGACCGGACATCAGCAGCAAAATTGTCGTCTGTAACTTATGTCCTATAGGATATATCTCCGATTTTTGTCATTTAGTCTTAGTGACAACGTCAAAAAGTCAAGACGCATTCGTTTGATATATTGTCTCTCTGTTGTCCAGTAAAAGTCACAATTTAGTTACCAATTTTAAAGTTAGTGATTGACGACGTTTATCGATTGGGATTATCGATAAAAAATATACAGGATGCCGATTTAATGCTTTACAATATTTAAGGAGGTAAGACAGTCAATAATAGTGTACCCATACCAACAAAAATGAGTAGCATATACCAACTATGATAAGTACCCTACTTTATGTGGAGCAAGGGTAGGATTTTTTTTACGCATGCTGTTGAGATTTTCTGTGTTGCTTATAAGCATGCTGAGGATACTTGCTGTGTTGATGTTTAGCATTACAGCAAGTTTTCTCTTTTACATACCAGGCTTCATTGTCTGGTGGTTTTACACCAGGCTTCATTGTCTGGTGGTTTTCAAGGACAAAGCCATTATAGATCCTCGCTTACAGTGATAGGAGGGGACAATAGATTTCTTACATTAAAAACAATTAGTAATGTTAAAGATATTAGGTGCAAGAAGTTGTAGGTTAAGCCTGAGTTAGAAAATAAGGTAAAAACTTAAAATAAATTTTTTTATTGATGTGGGTAGTGTCTTTAAGTACTGCAGCTGATGAAACGTGAAAAATCGTGAAACGGCTTTTAAGATCAGTGTTTTTCTAAAATATTTTAGATTTGAAGTGTATTTTTGTTATAGAAACGAATTTAAAAACATCTCTGTTCAGCTCTGTTATTGGATTTGGCGTTTCTCGATGTGTCTTTAACGCCGACCGATCAATCATACGCTATTATTATAACAGCTAATGGACCGAGTGACGTCATACCACCAAGGTGGCAACCAAAATGACTACTGTTTGAATTGATTTTTAGTTATTGGAAATTAAATATATTATTTCATGACACTAAAGAGGCGTAAAAAGTTAATATGACTTTTTTTCGTGTGATGGAAATCATGATAAACAGATTTATACAATAAAACAATCATGTAGATTCCCTATTATTATATCGAAAAGCATTTCAAACTTAGTAATCTTCAACAACATGATCGATACTTTGATATCGAAACGAGGTTATATTTATTAGCGTCACCTACTGGGGAATAGCTAAAATGTTGTCTTAATAAATGCTTAGCGTTATTTTGCTATTTTTAGCTAGAGGGTGCCACACGCGCACTAGCTCAAAGTTTTTGTATATAAATGTTCCTAATGTCCGCTCTATAGTATACCTATATATTTAAATCTCTTTGACTGATCTTCATGTATGTGTCAATAATGCCATGTGTCAATATATTTAATGGTTAATACATCTGTTAGTGATAGTTTAACTAAATCCTTTTCTATTGAAGCTGTTCGGCTCTGGAACTCTTTACCGCTGCACATTAGACGTGTGCAATCTTTTCTTTTTATATGAGAGGGGGCAAACGAGCATGCGGCTCACCTGATGGTAAGTGACTACCGCCGCCCATGAACAACTGCAGTACCAGGGGAATCGCAAATGCGTTGCCGGCCTTTAAAAAGGAGTAGGCTCTTTTCTTGAAGGTCCCTAAGTCGTATCGGTCCGGAAAAATCGCTGGTGGTAATCGATTCCACAAGGAAGTTGTGCGAAGGAGAAAACATCTTCTAAATCGCACAGTGGTGGACCGCAATCATCCAGATGATATGGATGGTATCGCGAGTTTTGTTGCGATGTGCGACGGTGAAATTGAGCGGCTGGAATTATTCCGAACAATTCCTCAGAGCACTCCAGTCGCAGTGCCAGTGAGTCAAGCCGATCGGAAAGAACTCGGTCATCGACGATTCGAACCGCTCTTCGCTGGATGCGGTCAAGTGGAAGGAGCTGGCACTGGGGAGCCCCTGCCCAGAGATGGGAACAGTATTCCATGTGAGGCCGAACCTGCGCCTTGTAAAGTTGCAAGCGGTGTGCCGGCATGAAATACTGTCCCGCTTTGCTGAGCACGTCAAGCTTTTTAGAAGCCAATTTGGCCTTCTCTTCCAAGTGACCACGAAACTGCACGTCACTCGATATGTCGACAACGAGGATACCGATACTGGCTGAGGCAACAAGGGGAGTGCCTTGAAACTGAGGAGATACGACAAACGGGTTCTTTTTAGCGGTAAACGCGCAATCTTGTGTCTTCTGGGGATTGAACTGGACTAGATTTAGTCGACGCCAGTCTGAGACTTTGTTCAACAAAGTCTCGACTTCAGACTCAAGTTTGTTCCGGTACTCGGCGACGTTTTCCCGCGAAATATTGGCACGGCTGGTATATAAAGCATCACAAGTGCTGTCGCAATGAATGTTACTGGTTTGCAACATATCATTGATATGCAGAAGAAACAGTATTGGTGATAGCACGCAGCCTTGTGGAACACCAGCGTTAATGGGCTTGAAATCAGAGCATGCACCGTCTACTACGACCTTGATGCTCCGATCAGCAAGGAAACTGGTGGATCACAATTGCACAATTTCTCGGGAAGCTCATAGGAAGGCAGCTTCGAAAGAAGCGCTTTGTGTCAAACCCGATTGAAAGCCTTCGCTATGTCCAAACTAACGGCCAACGCCTCCCCCGTGGACTCCACTGCCTCCGCCCATCTATGAGTTAAGTAACCTAGAAGATCACCAGCTGAGCGACTTCGACGGAAACCATACTGGCGGTCACTAATCAGCTTGTGATCTTCAAGGTACCGCGTGAGCTGGCTGTTAATAATGGTTTCCATTACTTTGGAGAACAAGGAGGTGATAGCGATAGGCCTGTAGTTGGACGGATCTGAGCGGTCGCCTTTTTTAGGAATCGAGTGCACCAAAGCTGTCTTCCATGAATTTGGGACTACGCCTAGGGAGTAGGAGTACCGAAAAAGACGCGTTAAAACCGGTGCCAACTCCGGAGCACACGTCTTCAGCACAATAGGCGGGACTCCATCAGGCCCACTCGACTTGTTGACGTACAGGGAGAAGAGTGCTTTACGCACCAAGCGCTGTGTAAACAGCACGTCCCGCATGGAGCACTCACACCGCGGGATGGTTGGCGGTGTGTTCCCCCCATCATCTAGAGTCGAGTTGGAAGCAAAAAGAGAGCCTAGTAGATCGGCTTTCTCCTTTGCGTCATGGGCCAGTGAGTCGTCCACCCTGTGCAAAGATGGCAGAAATGATTGACAGAAGTTCCAGTTGGACAGCCTTGGCGAGAAACCAGAATGCACGGGTTCCCGAAGGAAGGCGAACTAGCTTCTCGCCAATTCTGTCGATGTGCTCAGACCTTGCCTTGGCAATGACGCTTTTGAAGGACCTGGAGGCGGAATTATACTTCTTTTTAAGTCCGCTGGTGTTTAAATCCCGTGACGTTGATGCGTCAGCCCAGGCCCAGTAGCACTCCTGCCTATAGCGTGATGCTATTTTACAGGAGCGACCAAAC